CCTGACGGTCCCAGAAGCGCTTGTTTGACTGAGCTCTTACAGTGATGTAGACACATGTTATTGAAAACACCCTTGCTGTTTGGAGTGGGGACAGGGAGAGGAAAGGGCGAGAAGATGGAGATCTGAGAGGGCGGTAATCAGGAGAGAAATGTTTGTCTTTTGTTAAGCGTTTAAATACTTTCAAAAACAAAAACCGAAAATGTTATTTGGCTTGCATTTAGCTTATTTTGTGACTTCTGGGCAGACAAGCAAAGGAAAATTCGCCACTGGGCTTAAGAACTGAGGCGTACTTCCTACGTCATAGGTCATGAAATGTTGTCGCTTAAGCTGTCAAAAGACGTGAGTAAGAGGAGCAAAGCTGAAAACAAAGAAAAGGAAACGCCTAAGGATTGCGCAGCTAAATGTTAAGATGTGTTTTGAGTCTCCTTATTTACAGGGGACGGGACGAAGACGGACAACGGCGGGAGTCAGAAGATAAAGGTACGGGAAGCGGAAGGTTCTGATCCCCCTGTCTTCCCTCCACTACCCCCTTCCAACTTTACTGCAGCACAACTACCCTGACAAGGGAAGCTAAGTTATGGGAGGATAGGGCGAGAGGCGTGTTAAACTGTAGGGTGCGGCCTCGACCCGCCACCAGAGGTGGTCGGAGGGGCGAGACTTCACTTCTACCAAACTCCGTTGACCTGGCCAGATGATTGAAACTGTTATCCTCCTAATTAATCTTTTTACCTCTGACGGATAAGGAGAATTTATCTCAAAAGAGATACCAAAGTAGAGTCGTTTTTGACGAATTATACGCTGTCCTGCCGAAGTATAAGTCCCAGACAGTACATTTCAATAAGGAGCCTGTGTACACCCTACTAAGCCAGACGAGCCAAGCGAGGCCTGGTAAGGACGCCATAATAGCTTATTCACAAGTTGATTTTGAAGAACAACTAGTTCTTGTTTATTTTAAGTATCAGTTGGTGAAACAACTATGAAAAATTAAAATGGAACGCCAAAAGCGGCACTAAGAATAAACACGATTGTAAACCTCTTGAAAGAGAGTAACATCCCAGTCAATACCATGCAGAGAGCTTCTCTGGTCATGGAGCTTCAAACCTCCACAGTCATGTTACTTTATAACATGGTTGTGTGGCAACTGTTACTAACATCTGTGAACTTAACGTAATGCTAATCAGCGATCAGGCTTTTTTTTTGTTTTTTTGGTTTTTTGGTTTTTTTTTCGTTTTCCCGTTCGCCGAAAACGAATGAACGCCTGATCGCAAGTTAACGTTATGTAGAAAGAAATATCCTGCTACTCAGAATCGTCCTTTCACGTGATATCTGCGACATCTATCAAATGATACAGTTGCCTTCTAAGATCTAATTATTACAGTCTGTATGCTACTCATTTCAGATCATGATGCTTGCTAATTAAAGCTTCTCTTTTATCTAGTAGCTAAGAAGGTTATGCATTCATATACACATAAACAATGATTCCATGAAATTTGAAAGAAACAAAAATGATTTCTAGGGTAACCAGTCACGCCGTTTGAAATGGAACAACAAACAAACCAACGTTATCACGTTTGTCTATTATAATTCAGGTAAAGTTTTGAGCCAAACCAAAATCAATTTTCACCTACTCATGCTAATGAGGAGTTCTAAGTATTCCCAAGGAACGCTTGCGGCACATAACGTGATAGACTCCTCGCAGATGCAACGCACTGTACATCGTGGTACGTTTGGTTCACTGAGCTACCAAAGCAAGCCCGAAAAAGCTCGACACAGTAATTAAGGTAAGCATTTTAACGAATTTAACATCCTCAGTTGACAAAATTTTAGAAATTTAAAATTGCTTCTGTGTCGTCAGCCAGGAGCTCGTGTGATATGTTTGCGCGTATGTTGTATTTGAGCTCGTTCATTCATCTTGGTTCGTTACGCGCTGACAAAATTCTCTTCCCATATCGTCTTAGTTCCACATAGCTAACGAGTTGACAACGAAAGATTTCGTCTTTGCGGAAGACAGTCAAAGATTTAGGCTCAAACAGCAACACAAAACAATGATATTATTATAAAAATATTTATCTTCGTTACGTTTGCATTTCGATTGCATTGTAATTTGCTTCTGACCGTCAGAATACGTTTGTTCGTTGTGTTTTTTTTTTCTTTTGCTTTGTAAACTTGTTACTTGCGAGACGAACCTTGCGAGTAACTAAAACCTCATTTCTCGCTAAAAAACCAAAATATTGCCCGAAATACAGACAACATCGGCAACCGGATGTTCTTACTACGTAACAAACATGTTTTCATATCGAACAAATACGCGCGTGTATTTCTGGCACGAACTGCGCATAAGAAAAAAATATTGCATGTTTGAACTTGCAGATTGTCCGAAAATGTCAACACTTTGAACTGAAGAAGAGCCTATATAATATTTGCCATGTTGTGTTATTTTCTCTCTGCGACGGTCGTGTCAAAGCATTATCGAACCGGACGAAATATGAAAGCCTTGCACGACAACCAAATAATCTACCTGCAGGTGTTTTCAATATACGTAATTTTTCTAATATTTGAATCGTTGTCGGTCATTATTTTTATTTCGATGTTATTTTGGCGCACTTAATTGTGTTGTATCACATCAAATAATTTTGATGACCAATTATGTTTTTCTAAACATTTGGCTTCGATGAATTTTTCTTTCTACAGACTGTTGGTTTAAATGTATATATTTTTCTTTTCAGTGTGTTGAAAATGAATTATTCAAAAACATTTTCAATTGGCAAATGAATAAAGCAATTCAAGGGGTTGTATTAATTAACAACGCCTCTTCCATTATCCAAATGTTCCTCTTCTTACGGACCCAATTTGCATCTTCTTTCAAATGCAAAATAATCACATTTTTAACATGAATGGAAACAAGATGGCGGTGGTGATTTTAAATAATCATTGTCATATCTGTAATTTTTTCAACCCCGAGGGCAAAAGCCCTAAATGCTTTCAAATGAGAAAGCAAATTTTGTTGTTTTCTCACGAGTTTGGTTATTTTGACATTACCCGGGAAATTATTTAACGAGGTCCCGGATAATCTTCTGGGTCCCCGGATGTTGTTTCTCCAACACAGATGTCACCGCTGGTGTCACAGCTTCGCTTTACTTTTCAGTTCTCTTCATAAATTTCACTGAAACATCCGTTTCATCTCAAGGACGCCACGAAAACATTTATTGCCGAGAAGCTGGGTTAAATTTGTAGAGGTCAGATTTACGGTTATCTCCTCAACCACTGTGGCTACTACTGTGCTATATTGGCGTATGATATGTCGATGGATCACCGACTGACCGGGAAATAATCACAGAGGAGGTGGAACGGGCATGCGATATCACTCATATATTAGGCCAGAGCGAAGGTTATTAGGGACCCAGTCGAAGGAAATAAGGAATTACAGAACCCCACAACTGTAATAGGTAAGTTGTGCTTTTGAGTGAAAAGTTTTTCTTGCACGTGTAAGGATTCGGAGTATTTCCTGAAGTTATTGTAGACTTTCCGGACTCGAATCTTGCTGTCCCCGTAACGTGTAAGCGAGCGATAACGATTAGCACGAGAGATCGAAAGCTTATCACGAAATCAAGATAACTCACCCATGTTCACTGCCTTTGGTTAACTGAACTAGTGATAAGGAATTTTAATTTTGAATCCACGAGGTAGCATGCATGTTTATGTTGATTTACACGGTATGCTTTCCCTTGGAAAACATAATATCTTGCTTTAAAATTTCGTGAATGAAGACTTGTTTCATCGCTAGGGCTTAAGGTCAATTTGCAGTCGGTTTGAAAAAACGCGAAATTGAATCATGTGGCCCTCATGTGAAACCCTTCGAAACATAAGGTAGCCACGATTACGGTGTAGTTGTTATGGTTCATTGTCTTGAAATGACAACATTTCACCCATGTTGATCCTAGCTAGCGGCCCGTTTTAATTTAAATCTTTGATTTACATGATTTCGTAATAAAGGAGATAAAGTTTTGATCGTCATACCATGTTTTTTACTGCTTTCTTACAAGCTGCACGGCGGAGTTTAGATCGAATTTTCGACTGCATTCAGAAATTACAAGACTGGTTTTTACGATCACTCAAGCAAGTAATAAAGGCAACTATATCTGCAATTTTAATTCCGAAGAGTAATTAATCAGCTATTTTTAAACCATTTTTGACAACTTCGTATCAATTACAGGTTATCTATCATTTCTTGTCTTTAACCTCTAGACGGGGTATAACTTTCAAAAACTTTCTCACAAGATGTGTCTTGCTGTAATCTTGCGCTAGGGATGTATCATCAGTTTCCCAGCGCTTTTGTAATTTGCAAACACAATCATTCACGCCGGGTGACAGAAGACTCTGTCGGTTCCAATCAAAAGAAAACTGGTTTACTTGACAAATCGAAACTGTTAGCACACAAACAGTTTGACAACTGAGGCCCGAGGTTGCAAACGTTCGCTTTGTATAATTCTGCATCTCGCCTGGACTCGCTAATGTGCAGTATTTTCAATTCCCTTGGGTAACTTAATTCGCGTGTTTGCTCGTCGACATCATTATTATACGTAAGTCCGATACTTTTATAATTACTTTGTCAATTTATTAATGTTTATACTTTGTTAAAAATAAAGCCTTTGAAGCAAATTAATATAACGGTGAGAGTGCAAAGGTGTAAAAAAGACGCTGAATTCTGAAAACGCTGTCATCGAGGTGTTATCTTAGATTTCTTAACAATTTACCAACAGCAAATTTATGCCAAGTGAAACCGCAAAATTAATCTGCAACGGCGAGATCACGTCGTATAATTAATTCGGTCGCTGCGGGTTTTCTCGTTTACCTGAAAAGTGCTATTTAACATATAGATTCCATTTTTGTTCAGTAATTGATCACAGATCACGTCAAAATGTGGTTAGAATAAACAAGTGGCACACGAGGCGATAGCCGAGTGTCACTGGTGTTCTTACCACATTTTGACGTCTTCTGTGATCTACAACTGAACAGACGCATGGGAACATGGAATCTATACTTGTTTTATAGAACAAGAGACAAAAAATGAATATCAATGACGTCATCTATGTGTCTGTCCTGTAAGAACCAATCAGAATGCGACAATAATTTGACTTATGTAATTTCGTATAACACGAAAAGCAAGGCATATCCGTTGGACGGAGTTAGATTTGGATAAGTTCTATGCCTGCAAATGACCATATCATGATGCTTTTACTGTTAACAGAAGGATTATCCTGGGTAAATATTCGATTATTATTATTATTATTATTATTATTATTATTATTATTATTATGACAAATCATATGTTAGAACTGCCGAGAAAGCTACGAAGACATCAATGATCACTGCAGTCATATATGCACAACTAAACATCTGTGAAATTGAAAAAAATTCAGGCTTGAATTGTTTATAACTTTTTTCAAGCCTGAATATTTTTCAGGCTTCAATTTCTCAGCTGCTTAAGTTGTTTATATAACTGCAATAGTCAGTGATGTCTTCACATGTTCTATGTTCTGTGTTTCGAAACAAGTAATGTATTATATTAATTTATAAAGGTCCTTTCATTCTTAATGCATTTCTTTTTTAATAAAAATCTGCCACTAATTACCAACGACACGAAAATTAAAACCTTGAAGTTTTTATTACAAAAAAGCTATTAAAAGCAATATGGCATTTAAGACAAGACTTCGCCAAAATAATCAAACTGATTGAATATTCATGTTGCATATAATAAAAGAGACGTCAAATAACTCAAAACATAATGAAACAATAATAATAATTGTGATACTAGTACTGCTTTTTTTATTTTAATTAAAAAAGGTTCACTTTTATTTCGGACAAGTCAGTCAAACACAACGCAAAATTAAACCGTAAAAAAGTAACAACAAACCAAAGAGGATTGAACGCGAAACATCTTCATTTACATTTTGTAGACTGTCTACATGTATCAAAGTTGCTGTCGTTGATGCTGAACGAACGTTAGTGTTAACTTAAAACAACCATTATCGAATAGCTTAACGCGGTTAGCCGCAAGAAGCTATCCTTCTGATGCATTAAGGACAGAAGAATCAGGACTATAGATTGAAAATGCCTACTCTCTCGTTATTGAAATAAGCCTCCGGGGTCTTAGTGTTATAGCACATTCATTATTTTCCATTTGAAAACAGAATAAGAAAGCCACAAAATTATCGTTGAATCGTTTTTTCTTAAATGTGCACGTATATATGAATGATCGACAAGAATTGACTTTTAACTTTTTGGGTACGGTTTATGATGAATTTGAATTGCGAAATTAATTGATAATACTGGCTAACTTTCAACTCGATTTGGTGGCCGGTGAGGTTGGCTGTTCTCCAGAGACATGATACTTCGTCTTTAATTTGTCTGACATTTGTTTTTACTTAATTGTTGCTTACTTTGAAAAATCAAATGAAATAAGACCGACTTTGACACAGATGGTGCCCTATTTTCAGCAGATAACTCATATGGTCGTTCACCTTTCTAAAAGCCGCAGCCCTTAAAAAAAAAAAGAAAAAAAAGCCGCAGCCCTTTCAAAATGTCATAGAAACTCGTTAGTCCAATAACAAAGGAAGAAAATACTTATGGAAACTATAGTAACATAAGATTTAAGATGTTATTCCATTCTGTGGTAAAGTATGAGCAATACGGCCGTCTTTTCCCTATAAAGCTGGTCGATCAGGAAGTAAGTGTAAATTTGTAATTGTGTGATAATTTTCCCTTCTGGTCCCTTCTCGCTCTGTAAACTAAGACAAGATTCGCAGCTTGTAGTTCAATCCTATGAAATAAGGCCTTTTACATAAACAAACCGAACGCACGTGTTTGTATAGTAGACGGCGGAGGTGAGTCTGTATCAGGTTGTCACATGTAAGCTTTTGTGTAAGCAAAATCATCAGTTAATCATCAGTTATTTACACTGCACCTAGTACTTAGTCCTTTGCGGACGGGTAGCCTCCTGATGAGTAAAAAACAGACGCCGATATATATCGTAAAACTGGTCCTTCTGTGAAATATTTATCCGTGGAAACGAGATAAAACTAGGGTTACGCCCGAGAGGAACTGAAATTTAAAAAGGCTTGCTGACAACGACGTAAATTCACCATGAATTGAAGTGAACGATACATGCAAGCTGATGGTTTGCAGAGCCGCAGCGCTGTCAACATAGATTGACCATGATGCGTACGTAGGAGAAAGGTAGATCATGCACAGAATTGCTTACGTAAAGTAATTGAACAACGCCAATGAATGAATGGACAGACGAAGGGTTAATAATTACATGACTAGCAAAACAAGCATCATTTACAGTACATGATTCAGTCAGTAAAATAACATGATATTTTCTTTTCGTTTCGCTTTTCAGGATATGAGCCTTGCGCTTAGCTGACCAAAAGCATGGATGTGCTGACTTACTGGACATTTTGCCTTATTTTTTTAACGTTAATACCTCGTTTCTCGTCTACGTTTAACGATACTATCGGCGCGGAGGCGAGATTCAATGCTACTTGGGGAGGTTATATTCCGACTACAGGCCCGAGAATCAAACATGAACTTCACATTGCTGGATTCTTCAATTTAGCTTCTCGCAATGGCGCTGGTTCCTTGGAAGCGGCCAGGATGGCAGTGGAAGAAATAAACAGTGATTCTAGATATCTTGAAGATTATAAAATCGAACTACACCAGCAAAGATCAACACAGGTACAAGAATCATTTTCATTTTCGGTTTATCTCTTTTCGCAAGGGCAGGTGGGTTTCCAGCTTAATTTAGCCGTACCTTTTGTTTCCCGTAGTTTATTGAAAGTGTTAAAGCAGGTTGTAGAAATTGCATGTGACCAATAACAGTCAAAGTTGAGTCGTAAATATTTTAACCGTTTGGTGTTTTCCCTATTGAGATTCTGCAGGAATTGAATTGCGTTTTATGTGCCTCAGCGACACTTCAGCTATAGTTTAAATACGGATAAACATACATCACAATTGCAGTCTGAATGAAAACGTGACTCGCAGTCGCTGGACATCAGATTCAAAAATAAATCCACGCTCAGCTACATGTTTTGACTTCGGACGTTTTTCCGTCGGTTATAACAAATAAAGCGAGCCTACAGTTAACTTAAAATAACAAAGTAAAATAAAAACACCCCATAGAAATGTAAAATTTATTAGGCGCTGTCTTTGTTTGTGGTAGACGATTTCCCATATTTTGGGCCCCTCATTCATTCAACTTTAACGAATTTCTTTTTTTCGTCGGCATTTTTCTCTGCCTATTTTTGTGGCATTGTTATAATCAATAATTGATTACATTGGTTGGATTTTGGCGATTGTTGAAAATTATTTAGGAATTGTTTTATTGACTCGGTGATAAAGCTGCTTTAAATTATTCAATCTTATATACTCTGGCGACACTTGCTCTCCTCATTTGCGTTGTGGTAGAAGATAAGAGAATTAAGCATGTCGTTAATTACGCAGGCCTCCAATTTTTAGCTTTAAAATCGTGGTATTTTTTTCTCGGCTTTTATGGTTGACGTTCCAATTGTGGCAATTCTCTCGTGTGTCAAAATATGGTCAGTAATTCCTCTGCTGGTTGCTGCAGCTATATCGAACGTACATTGTCACCGATAGAATTGCGACTATGTTACGAAACGAATAGGGAAGGCTTCCCTATATATGAAGACACCTGGTTTATTCTCAGCTACAATTCTGTAGTAACAATTAGAACTGCAATAAGAATGCATTAACTACAGTGTACGGAAAAAGTTAAACAAGGACAAATCGAGACGATAAGAAATTCGTCTATTCAAACACTGGCTACAGGTTTAAAGCTTTGTTCTGACGGTTCGGCAGATGTAATAAGAGATGAAAATGAATACAAAATTAGAATCCTATCAGTTCTGACTCCTGTGGTTTTAACATTTTTAAGAAACTGTAAATATTGTCAAAAGGAGAAATGATCTCAGGGAAGGCAGTTTTTTGAAGTTAGCCTGAAAAGATTTACGTCTTGAATGAGAACTGAACTCGATTCGTGGTAAATTAAAGCCGCATGTATATTGTAAAATAAGAAATTATTGAAGGATTTAGCAGTCCTGAGCTAATTGGACAGTGTAATTAAACAAATAAATGTTGAAAATTTAACACGAGTTACTGGAGAATCCCAACTGGTGACAGGCATACCAGTTGTCTGTTTACAAAACGCAGCCGACGAATTCAACTGAACAAATATGGGTAGCGACAGGAGACAGAAGATCAAATCCAACACCCAGATCACTCGCCTATGTGACGTTGCTGTCATATCATAATAGGTTGAATTATTCTCGCCTTTTGATTGGTTCTTACATATGGTCTATTGGAGATTAGATGCATGAATAAGGTCATTAACAACTTTTTTTGTTTCTTTTCTATCTAAGACAAATAGTTTCCATTTTGCCGTGCGTCTGTTGAGTTATAGATCACAGATGCCGTCAAAATATAGTAAAAACATCAGTGACACACTCGCTTAACGTTCTTGCCACATTTTGACGTCTTCTGTGATCTATTACTGAACAGACGTACGGACGGTAAGATGGAATCTATTTGTTAAATATTGGTTGTAAATAAACAACTAAATACACTCTCTGTGTAATAGTCATTTTGTGCATCCTGTGCCTATGTTTTACATGAATCATTTTTAAACCTTTTTTTTCAAAATGACAACAATGTTGTTTTTGTTCCAGGGCCACTTGAGCGAAGGAACCAAAGTTTTGTACGACTACTTACACAAGGAACCTAAAATGACCATGATACTGGGACCTTTCGACAATGACCTGGCCAAGACAGTAGCGGCGTATGCAGGGCTTCCTGACATCGGCCTTCTGCAGGTTAGAATTTATTGATGTGAGAGAAGTAGCGTCTTTCCAGAGGCAACTCTCTAACGGGAGTCTGGGAACCAGCAAACTGGCCGTTTGGAAACTGGGAACGAGTAAAAGAAAAGCAGAAATCGGTGCTACTATTCGTACTTTCCTTTTCTTATCTCTTTCCATTTTCTATTATTACTCCTTCCCAGACTTTCACGGTTTAGAGCGTTGAGACCAAACTTGCAAACTTAGTCATGTATAGAGTTTTTCACACATCTAAATAATTAAAATGCACGCGTAAGGTGTAAATTGATCTTACCGACTATTGTTTCGGAAAAACTCGAAACAGAACTGAATATTTTTCAGCGCGTCTCCATGACCTCCATTATGACACCACACGAATCAACGTGAATCAGTGAGAATTTTACGTCAAACAATTACCATCGAGCTGTCGTTTCATATACCTGGCGTGTTTGAAACTCGTTAGATGGAGGACCTGATCTATTATTTGTGTTGCATTGGTTTTAAGCCGATTTAGACAGCGACTTTCTGTCAAACGCTGTTTAAATTTCATTTATATGGTAGGTTCTTAACGCGGTGGCCTCATGGTTAGTGCGCCAAGCGGTTCGGGTTCGAGCCCTGGCCGGGGGGGGGACATTGAGTTGTAATCTTGGGCAAGACACTAATCTCACAGTGCTTTTGTCCACCCAGGTGTATAAATGGGTACCGGTGAATCGTATGCTGGGGGTAACCCTGCAATGGACTAGCATCCAATCCAGGGGGAGAAGAAATACTCCTAGACGCTTTACGCTACAGAAACCGAGATAAGCTCTGGCCTGATGGGCCACTTGGCTCCCATCCAGACATTACCTTCACTTATCTTAACAATGATATTATGTCCACAGTTTTCTTACGGAGCCACCGATCTCGAACTTTCAACCAAACGGGACAGATACCCTTTGTTCTTCCGCACAGTACCGACTGACTTTGTCTTCAATGAACCTCGTTTGCGCTTTATTCGGCGATTTGGTTGGAAAGACGAGATTGGCATGATTTACGACGCGTCACCGTACTATTCACGGGTAAGTCAATATTCAAACTGCGTCAGGGCTTTTTGAGTTATTTCTGAACAAGTCAGCTCCACCACAGGGGGCCTTTTTTTATCATCATCGAGAAGTATAAACTCACTGATCACTTAATTTCATAAATGACATCAAAACAAATTGGGGAAGCTATACCTTTAATGTGACCACGTGAAAACAACTGAAAATGTTTAAAAAACGTTTACTCTCGTTAATGGTAACTATATCCTTCTCAAACTCATTATAACTCGTGGAGAAAAAGGAAATCTTGACCGTGACGGTGTTTGGGGTTTGGCATTTTTTACGACTATATTTCTCCATTTTTCCTTAGTTAAAGTTCGTTTGAAAAGACATAATAATTATCAAACACTCAAGACAGTGTTTCACCACATTCCAAACCCCTCGAAGTTGACCAACAATTATTCGCTGCCCGTGCTATTTTCAACTCTCTTCTCGGTGTTTTTAAATACGATGAAACACGGTCTTTCGTGTTTGATATATTACCTAAACATGGTTTTGCTTTTCTCCATCCTAGATAAGTCAGCACCTTGCTGAATCTCTGAAAAACAATGGCACCAAAATTGTGGCAAATGAAGGATTTACACAAGATCCTGCAGTAGCAGTCAAAATCCTGAAGGTAAAATGTGCATCTCGTTTCAAAAATAACTGCTCTTCATCTTTCGATTTTTAGGCGATTTCGAATTCATACTAGCCCAATGACTTGACTAAAGCCGGGGAACTGAAGGTTACGAAACTCAAATTTCAGCCGCAGAACTAATGGAGAAGATAACTTTGTGCCAAAAGAACGAGCTAACCTGTGCAACTAGTTGAAGATGCGTATAATGAATAATGTATCTATTTTCCAAATGATTTTCCAGAAAGGAACGATTAAACGTAACTAGCGGGTTAGTGGATAAACTGTCATATGTAAGATCTCACCAAGATTATCACTGATAAATCCCAAAGTTCTCTCTTTGAGCAAGCATTTTGTGTGAAGTAATCAAATGAAAACTGGCTTTTGACTTAGTCTTTTAGTTATTTTAGCCTGAGACGGTTAATGATTTACACTCGTTTCTATTGTCAGGACAAGAGAGCTCACATTATTCTTGGAACTTTTCATCACTCCAGAGTGAAGGAAGTATTTTGTCAGGTGGGTAACGGCAAACGCTTTTACGCCTTGACTGTATGAAGAACTTCTTCCAAAATACCAAGGAATAAGCCCTCATGCATGCAGCTTTAATTGATTTCCTTGCTAAAATATTTAGTGTTGCTCAATTTCAGGCTTACCTGAATGGAATGTACGGACAAAACTACGTTTGGATTGTAACGTCGACCCCGGATGTTAATGAAACATCTGATTGGTGGGTGCCTCAATCCTCCGATAAACTGACATGCACGAGATCGCAGATGGAAGAGGCCTTGGATTATCACTTCACCTTCTACTACAAGAATGAAATCAACGCAACTTTGGTATCAGGAAAGGTACTTGTTACCTCTTTTTTGACCCCATAAAAGATGCGATTATGCGCGTTTAGCCCTTCGGAGTTGAAGATCTTGTGAAGTGTCGCGAACCCTCGTCAGCTCTCGTAAACCCTGGTCAACTCTCATCAGCACTCGTCAACTGGTGTTTTTAATTAACTCTCGTGAATTCTCACCAACTCTCTTGAACTCTCGTAAACCCTACTCTCGTTGACCTTCGTTAAGTCTCGGCAACTCTCCTTCCCTGTCGTAAATCCTAGTCGACTCTCGACACTGCTCGTCACTTCTCGTCAACTTTCGGCAATTCTCGCCAACTCTCTTCGGCTCTTGTAGACCCAAGGCAAGGCAACTCTCGTTGACCCTCATTAAGTCTCGTCACCTCTCGTTACCTCTCGTCAACTCTCGTCTCCTTTCGTCAACTCTCGTCTCCCCTCGTAAATCCTAGTCAACTCTTGCTGACCCTTGTCAACGTTCGTCGACCCTTGTACTCGTTTGATATCGCCTAAGCGAAGCACTGCTTCCCGTGCTGGATTAATTCTTTATTTCTGTCGCTTTCAGAGCACGAACCAATTTTTCGCTGAATACAATCAAAGAATCCCGGAAGCATTCCGCAGCACGTACGCGCCGTTCGCTTATGAGGCCATGTGGGCGATAGCTGCCACGCTTGAGCGTGCTCGGCCGGTAATTGTGGATTGGCAAATGGAGCTGTACAACCTTGGTTATGGTCGACGTATGGTGAGCGAACTTTTCAAGGAAGAGGCAATTCAAGTACATTTTACGGGACCTTCGGTATGTTGTTTGCTGAAATTTTTGCTACTCTCGACCCGTTTTACTGCTGGGACACCTAACAATACCCTCATAGCAACAATGACGATTTTGGAGAAGGGATTTCGACCTATAGCTAAACTCTATTACATTCCTTCAACTGAATACTGAGCTGATTCACTTGATGAACAGCCCCGGTGTTGCCAATCAGATCGCGAGTTTGTCACTCAGCAGTCAGAAGTGACTTAAGTTATGCTAAGTCAATAATGAACAGCAAATCCAATGTAGACATTTTCAAGAGACCATAGCACTTTTGTAACAAATGTATCCGTAATTTGACTTCAAACAGTAAAGAAAAGCTGATCGTATTGTTGAGACGAACAGTGTATGTTCAGCCTTTCTTTGATCGACTTCCCTACATGTTGCTGTTCAGATCCAGCAGGACCCGATTACTTTGTATTATCTGTTAGCACTTTCAAAATTTTAAGTTGTTAATTGATGGTCTATTGAGTGTATTTCTTGACGCGAATATTTGTCATTCTTTCATAGGGTGTGGTCGCATTTGACAAGAATGGAAATAGGAGGTGTAAGGTGTTCATCCGACAGTTTAGAAAATCTAGTAAGTTAATGTTAAAAAAAACATCAACTGTTGTCTATCGTTGGAAACATTCTCTTGAGAAGGCAAAAGACAGTTACTTTTCCTCTTCTGGTACTAGCCTGCAGCGATTTCCTTCTCGGCCTTTCCAGCCACGGTCAGACCCTTCTAGCCAGAGCCTGTTCACAGGCTATTCAGGTAGGTATGGAGAGGTTAACGCAGTCATTCATTCTCTTTCATATATATACAGTTGGCACTCAAGAAGTGGGAGTGTATGACTACAACCCCCCTACCCTACTCCTGAAGGGGCAATCCGAAGGTAACAATGGACCAGCGGTTTTGAAACAAGTACATTGGCCAGGTACGTTGTGTTTCAGGACACAAGGAATTTTTAGGCGTCCCTAAAAATTCCTTGTGTCCTGAAATGACTCTTAGAGTAGACAAGTACGTCTGAGATGTGTTTGAGTCGCAGCGAGTGTTTGAAACTATGAACGATTGACGACAGGAAGACCGAAAAGAAAAATGAAACTTCCACCTAAAATGCTGATAGTAATGGTTTCTTGAGAAGCAAAACCAAAGATTTACCTCAGTGGCCACTCGCAAATGTATGTGAAAGTTATTAGGTCGTCATCCATTGCCTAAATGTCATTATTGAAATTTCTAAACGGCCTCTAGTTTCGAGCTCATATCACACCATAGAATTGTCTGACCTCGCGGTCATATAAGGCCACACAATAAATCGAATTACTTCCCTTGATCTTGTTTGACAGCCGGTCAACCTTACCAAAGAAAAGCATCAACAGATTCATGGCTGTATATCAGATTTCCTTTATTCATCTCGTGGTCTTTGATTTCTGGATTTATTCTTGTTTGCTGCGTTCTCTGCCTGGCTTTGCTTTTGGTTTTTCGACGACACAGGTGGGTAAAGTCAAAGGATACTCTTGCTGGTTATTGGCCCGGGTGGGGGATACTCCCAGAAAAATTGGGTGAGGGTGTGCAGCTCGCTTCCCAAAACCCTTACCCTATTTAACACCAATATCTGCGGTTTTCCCTACCCTATTTTTGACCTGACCAAACCTTTGATACCCTAGCCTATGTAAGACCTGATCAATAAATCAATACTCTGTTTCAGACCTGCCTTGTACCTAGTTTCCTAGTTCAGACCGTTTTTAAAGGCATTGTGAAGGGCTTTTGATGATGGTCTTATCTATAATGGCCAAAATACCCTATTTCTGGCCAAAACGTACGGCTAAAATATAGATAAGAAGCTGAGAAATTACGTCGAGTGGAACTAAAACTGCTTGCGGTAACCCGTGACACATTCTGAACAGTAACCTTAGATGGCCGGTCGATCGACAAGCTCCCCGCTTCCCTGAAGTAATTCTCTTCATTTCTTTGTATTTCTCCACACAAAGTGAAATAGCTTGTAAGATATATTTGATTGTTTTTTTACAATTTGCTGCCTTGTTAAGTTCACTCTTTTCTTTATTGCAGAGTCATCTATCATTCTGGATTTTTCCTCACTGAATTACTCATTCTGGGCTGCATGTTAAACCTGTTTTCTGTTGTCCTGTTTGGACTTGATGGAGCCCTTATCTCTTTCGACTCAATGCAGTGGGTCTGTAAGGTAAGCACCAGTGTTTGTTTTGGCATCGAACACATTTGAACGGAGACAGAAAAGGCATCATCAATCACTCTTATTTGTTTCTGTTGCAGGCCCGCTCCTGGTTTCTCAGTTTAGGGTTCACATTGTGTCTGGGCAGCCTTCTTCCCAGAGTTTTATTCGCTTACAGAGTTGTGTCCTGGAGACCGCATACGATAAAGAAGGTGCGCATGCGTAGAATTTTGTTCCTTTGGAAAATCTTTTTTATCAACCTAGTCTTATTTGCTGTAATTAACTAACTATGCCCCGTATGATCTCTTTTTTTATGATTGGAATTTTATAATTGTTATTAGTATAAATCTACTATCGTCCTATCATGAATACCGTTCTCTGATTGGCTACTCTGCTCACCATCTATGCTGTTGTAGACAGTGAGTAGCGGAGCAGTGTGCGGTTGTGAACAAAATGACGGCCGCTTCCTCGCGTTTTCGAGGCGTCTATGAAGAGGACTTAGATAAAGTTTTTAACGACCAGCAGATTTATACTAAAACAATTAGATTATTCGCTCTCGATTTCTATGCGGAATAGTGGACGAGGGCGCAGCCCGAGTCAACTATCATGTAATAGAAATCTCGAGCTCATAATCTAATTCTTAATTAGTATATATAGGTGTCCACGATTAGCTTACTGTTTACAGTAAGCTAGAATTTTTGACACAGTAATAAAGTTATTCATTCATTCATTCGTTCGTTCGTTCGTTCGTCCGTCCGTCCGTCCGTCCGTCCATTCATTCGTTCGTTCTTTCGTTCATTTGTGAAGCTTAAGTTCTGATTTTCTGTTGAACTGATTGGCTCACAATTAAAAATTTTTCTCCATCCAGGTTCCATGGTCGTGGATGTTTATGATCGCATTCATTATAACTATTGCTGACATCATCTTGTTGATCACGTGGCAAGTTATTTTTAACCCTCGTGCTGTTAAGGTTCTTCGAGAAGTAAGTCTGGATGTATGATTACTGATATAAAAATAAACGTAAACAACGGCGCGGTGTTGTTGCTGTGTTTTTCACTCACTTTGATTAGTTTCATATAATTTGAGCAATATTTAAGAAATTTCGCCATGTTGATAGCTCGCAACCTGTAACACTGTTTCATGTCTCTAGGATTCATCTTGACAGAAAATTCGTATGTGTCAGAACCGTTTTCTCAGAGGGAAAATGTTCATTTCTAACAGTCGCATATAATTAAAAATACGGGCAATTCAACTCACACAACTGATTTCTCTGATGATATTTCGCATGTTCATCTTAACAAGTAGGTCATCTTCAAAGAACAAGATGGCCATACTTATGGAGAAAGCTTCTTGATTCTTACAACAGGTTGAAAGACCTCGTCCCTACGAGGAGCGAGCACAGCTGGTTGAACAATGCGTCTCTGACAACGAGGAGGGAGCTCTGGCACTACTCTTTGTTCCCAAGGGACTGCTACTTCTGATTGGTACCTTAGCAGCCTGGCCTGCGCGTCGTTTGTGTATACCGTTGTGTAACAACACACGAAATTGTGCCCTTTGTTTAGTAATAGCAGCGGTCATGTGCATCATTGAGATTCCGATAATAATGCACGTGCGACAGTATCCAAATCCCTTTTATGGCATAACTGGATTGATTATTATGGTGGTTTCTGTAGCGCTTTTGGTTATTGGAGTTGTTCCTCAGGTGAGCTCTAACACAGTTTTTACAACAACTGCAGAAATTTCGCGCGCTCATTGGTTAATTTTCATTGTCAATAAGTGGACGGACACATGAGCTTATAATTTATGCGATGTTATTGCAAAAATAAAAACAAATTGACGTCAGTTTTGTGCGTCTGTCCTGTCCTGTCCACAGATACTTTAACAATGTTATGACATTGAAATTCAAGATCAATAACAGGACAGACGCATGAACGAATGACGTCAATTTGTTAATTTGATAATGCCGGATTAGTATTAGTATTATGCTCGAGAAACATCGGTGATGCAACCCGAAAAATTGCATACTGATGACGTTGTTCCAAAGAGATCCGTGTAGCGTGTGTGATTGGTTGTTAGTTGCGCGCGAAAATTCAAAACCGAGAAACGAAAAATCACGGACGCTATACGGACCTCTGTAGAACTACGTCATCAGAATATAGTTTTCGAGTCTAGTCTCAGACGTCTCTCGTAAGGCGAATGAAGGAATTGAGAACGTGAAGCTTATCAGTAGAGCAGTAGAGATGTGTCTTTCGTACTCAAGCCTAATTCAAGTTAATCTCTTGCCATAAGAACAGGAAACATATTGAAAGTGAAGAATGATCATCGCAGTAAATTTTCCAATTTAAGCANTCTACAACCGCAGTTCATATATGAATTATTTCATATATATGTCACATGAAACATATTTTTGAGACATTTTTACGTTCACTCGATCAATCACTTTACTTCAGTGTCGTAACTTCTGAGTGGCCCCGAAATTCAGTCTTTGGAATTAAGCAAAACCTCTCACGTTCTTCTCCTGACAGCTCAAACGCGCCCATCATTGCCAAAAGAAGTCACAGATGGCATCTGCGGACTGTAACGACATCGAGATGAGGCACGAGAACAGTTGCAGTAGGTGTGAATGCAACACATGCGCAGATCCCAAGAGGTTTCGGCCCCAGTTGGCTTCGTGCTCAGGCGCTTACTCCTGTGCTCCTGTTTCTCCAGACTGGGATTACATGGTCGGTGGTGTACCCAACAGAACGAAGGAAGGCGAGACGCGCATTGTAACCGAGGTATTATAACTCTGTTTTTACTCTCAAAGTCGAGGAACTAAAAGTACTAAAATGGTTTAAGGGAAATGGAAGAAGAAATAAGTCGGAAAGAAGAAATAAGTTGGTCGAGTGGTTGATCAGTCAACTGGTCGGTCAATTAGGCATGCAAGAAGGAAGGCCAGGGAGGCAGTCTGTCTGTTTGTCTGTCTGTCTGTCTGTCTGTCTGACTGTCTCTGACTTTCTCCTATTTGTCGGTCTGTCTGTCGGTCGGTCGGTCTCCCTGCCTGTCTGTCTGTCTGTCTATCTGTTTGTCTGTCCGTTAGTATGTCTGTCTGTTTGTTATTCAATCAGTCAGTCATTGTCATATCATTGAGTCAGTCAGCCTGTCAGTCAGTCTGTTGAATAGTGAAGACTCATTGGTGATTGTAGATATCGCTGCGACGTGTAATAATAGCATATGAACTTAGTAAGCCCTTTTGTCAGCAGACAAATTTACAATCTGATTTATCTAGCTGAGCTCGGGTGTTCGAAAGCCGATTGACTCCAGTAGGATATGTAGGGGAGGACCCCACATCCCGGATCAAAAATTCTCTCTAGCGGGCCCTATTTTCGACCACTTTCCTCCCCTGTTTGAGCACCACTGAACAATAATCCGGTTTAGCAAGATAATCAAGATTTTTTTAATATGGAAATTGACGTTCATACTGGATAAGCTTGATATTATCCTTACCCACAGACAGTTTACATCGATCCACCCGGCGTTCCCACTGCGGCAGTCCACACTCAAACAATGCAGGTCTTATACAACACAGCTGAGATACAAACAATCATCGTAAGGACGCAAAGTGCGTGCATGATAACAGAACCGGAACCGGAAGTAGAAAAGGCGGAAGTCATGATGCAAACGGAAGCGGAAGAGCCGACACCGGTAGCGGATGTAGACACACAGACTATAAGAGTAAAACTATGTGAGAGTCACATGCAGACAGTGAAAGCATCTCTAAGCCATATACATGTTCAAACGAACAAGCCAGAGATGAGTCATTCACTAGTTCAAACTGATGAGGTAAGTACATCTGTACAGCCATTCGGTTCGAGAGTTATTAGGGACGGACGTTTATATTTTTGAGGGGGGAAGGGGGTTGGGAAATTTTCTGGGGCATGATTTTTTTTTTCTTACAGTGGTGTAAGAAAGTTTCGAACTTATAACTTAAGGTATACGCCGATGAAAACACCCTTAATTTTAGCTTTAAGGGCTTATAATTAAGCAGTTATTCTGGTTTATAAAATATGTGGGAGAAGATTCAGATCCGATCGAGGTTGTACTGCGATGTCGCACCCCAGATAACACATGCATAATCAACTTAACAAATTGACGTCATTTTTTATGCGTCTGCCCTCTTATTGATGATAAATTGCGTCATAACATGTGGCTGTGGAACCACGAACCGCGGGCGAGTGGTTCCGCAGTAAACTTTGACAATGTTATGACGAAATTAGACAGTTATTGTAAAAAATAGGTTGGATTAGGGATTTGTAAAACGACTGCCCCGCGCACTGAGGTAAATATGTTTCGATAGCTTTTAGTAGATTAATTCGTTTCAGAACTTCACTACAGACTTCTTCAATGTGTAAATTCCAAGTTAACTGTTCGTCAAGTACAAGACCGAGAAGTTTGTGACTGTCTACACTTTTTATCG